CCTGCACCCTCTTCAATCTGGGACCCCTCGGGGGATGTCCTACTAACTCTCACAATTGGAGGCCACTGGCTCTTAATAGCTCATCTGCCTGCCTGCCTGATCGCCCCTAACCCCTCTGCCTGTCTGATCACCCTTAGCCACCTCTGCCTGCCTGATTGCCCCTAACTGCCTCTTCCTCACTCTGCACCCGGGACCCAGGATTCCCTCCTCTGGCCAGTTGTAGGCATCTGAGACCTGGCCTTCCCTCCCTCTGGACAGCCACAGGCACCCAGGACCCAAGGCCAGCTTTGCCCAGGCTGGCAGCAGCCACCGGGGACCATGGGCAGGTGTCTTGTCCCTCTCTCAGACCACAGACTGGATGGTCCCCATTTCTCTCTCCCCAGTGTTGAGCATCTGAGCAGTTCGGCCTTGAGGGCGCAAGGGCATGACAACCATTTGCATATTAGCTCTTTATTATATAGGATTGCTTCTTTCCACTAGAATGTAAGTTTTATGAAAATAGAGACTTTTCACATCCTTCTATGTAGATATATAAGGAATTGCCTCATTTTTCTTATTAAATTCTATTACTAAATTTATTAAATTCAAATTTCTGAATTAAATTCTAGTCAGAACTACTTATCTTCTTAGCAACCTCCAAGTAATGGGCATTTAAATGGTTTCTAAAATTTCTTTTATGTGCAATTCTGTGATGAATATCTTTCCATAATTGTCTTGTATACATTTATACATTTAGGATAATTTTGAGAAGTGGAATTGTTAGGTCATGTCCTTTACTAAGGTTTTTGGTACACATTACAAAATAGCCCTCCTGTGTACAGGCAATATATTATCCTTTCCATTTCTACATATGCTGGCTAACATTTACTTTAATTATTTATTTTAATTATTATCAACTTTGTTTGCATTGTGTTTCAATTTACATTTATTTGGATATTATTGACATTGACACTTATTTTATTTATTTATGTGATATTTTTAAAAAATTATCTTTATTGTTCAAAGTATTACAGATGTTCCCTTCTTTTTCCCTCCATTGATCCCCTCCATCCTACACTCAGCCCTCCTGGGCCTTCACCACACTATAAAATTTATTTATTTATTTACATTTCAATTTCAGCTGTTTGGGTATGCATTTTATTTTTTATTTATTTATTTTTTTTAAATATATTTTATTGATTTTTCACAGAGAGGAAGAGAGAGGGATAGAGAGTTAGAAACATCGATGAGAGAGAATCATCAATAAGCTGCCTCTTGCACATCTTCCACTGGGGATGTGCCCGCAACCAAGGTACATGCCCTTGCCCAGAATTGAACCTGGGACCTTTCAGTCCACAGGCCAACGCTCTATCCACTGAGCCAAACCGGTCCCAGCTGGGTATGCATTTTAATATTCTTAGATATTTTCATTTGGGTGTGTTTATTTTTCATGCTCATTAATACATTTTATAAAATTTTCATATATTATGATGGCAGATTTCTGCCTTTTTTACATATTGCAAATATTTTTTCCTTTCTTTCATACCTTCAAACTTGATTTTCATTTTGCTTTATTTTTCCTATATAAAGGTTTTTAACTTATATGAAATCAGATCTATCAATATCTTATTCCTTAATATGGTCTGACTTTGGTTTTATTATAAGGGTTTTCTCACTGAAAGATTATAAATTACTCAAAACATTTTTCACTTCTATGGGAGTTTTTTACATTTGGATTTTTATTTTATTTAAAATATAAGGTAATGATCTACCAAACATTTATCTGAATAATATGCCATTTTCCCCAACCACATTTGTTGAATACTCATCTCTCTATAATGGTATTTTATTTGGTTATGCTTTTTTTCATTGATTTCTTTGATCCTTGTATTTCTGGTCTGGTAGTATACAATGTTAATTGCTGTTGCTCTGTAAATTTTACTATTAATTTACGATTACTATTAATTTTCAAATTGTTATTTTATGGATACCTTTTATAAAGCTATTATTTCAGATATATTTATAATTGCTTGATTCGATTCTCCTACAAATTCTGAATGTAGTATTAGTATCTCCTCTAGCCGAAGACCCACCTACAGGGAACTACCTCTGTCTTTCCATCCCTCTCTGATCTCACACCATCTTGTTGATGATAGCTTTGTAAGTGGCTGCATGATCTTTTTGGCATCTATTGTTTGTCTGTTTTCCACTGGTCTTTCCCCAACCCCAACTCCTAAAGGAGGGACACTCTCAGATTCATTTTTATTCTGCTGGCTGTTGGGCAGAGTTCTTGGACTATAACAGGTGTTCAGGAAATAATTGCTAAATCGATTCATGGTTTTTCTCTTAGTCCTCTGAATTGAAATTTCTGCAACTGTGGATAATAGTGCCCAAATGGTTTTACTCAAGGAAACAAATAGAATATTGAGCTTAATGGGCCTAACACAGGGCCTCACCAAACAGTTGTGCCTTACTCTTTGTTTCCTTCTCTGAGGGTGGCATCACCAATGGTGAGAAGAAGAAAGAAAGAAAGAAAGAAATTCTAAGTCAGACATATTCAGCTTTATTATTTCTGAGTTTTGGACTTCATCTACATGAAATTGTGTATTAATATAGGGAAATCACTCACTTTATGCTCTATAACATAGTCTACACTCAAATCAGGTTGTAATTGTGAAGATCAAATAAGCGCAGAACAAGAGGCATCACACTGCCTCCCTGTTCTTCCTTGTGTAATTTGAACTTTCACAACCCTCCAGAAGGAAGAGATCTCATAGCTTGCCCAGAGTCTTCCAGGCATTTCTTCTCTGTTTTGGGCTTATTACATGCTTATGACGTGTCTTTGTTCTTCCTCAGTGCTGTGGGGGATGGGGAGGGGTGCAGAGGGCTGGGCCCAGAACGGATGTCACCCTGCTTCTTATTTCCTCAAAGTGAAACTATTTTAGCTCTACAACTAATGTTTATTGTCTCATACATTTGAATGATTTCATGGATAAATTACACATAGATTCAAAAATATGACCACATTTCTTGCTTGGCTTCCTCCCTGTTAATCTGAGCAAATATTCTTTTTTTTTTTTCTTCAATTTCCAGAAATAGGGTGATTTTGACTGTCATTAGGGGTAATTTTAAAAATTAGTGAAAAGAGTACTTCAGAGGGTAAGGTCAAAATGATGGCGAAGCACCATGGGCTAGCAGGAGCCAGAAGGAAAAGTTCTCAAATACCTGTCTTTGAAGGAGAGGATCACTGCTCACCGGAGATGGCCAGAGAGGAAACCAGAAAGACGAGGCAGGAAACCAGAAGGCAAGAAAGCCTAGTTGATTTCAAAAGATGTGATGCGCATCTTTTTAAAACTGTTTGCTGCCTCTTGACATAGCACTAGGGCAAGTTCTGGTTTATATCTGTTTGTCAGCATGAATCTGGCTCCTTGAGATGAAGCCTCAGACTCCTGATGAATCACTTGCAGAATTTCATGGAAATCGCCAGAACGATAACCCTCGTTCGGTTGTTCTCTTTTAGGCATCATTTCTTTAACCAGTTTTACAATTTGAGCTGTTGTCTTGTTTATGATTTCTTTTTCAAATATTCTGTCCCTCCCCATCCCCTTCTGCCCTGCTAGTCACCTGCAGAAACCTCCCAGTGGCCAAAACCAATCTGTAGTCAGAAGGCAAGGAAGCCTAGCTGATTCAAACTAGTAAGATTAGCTTCATGGTATATGATGCAAAGCGTTCAATGTAGAAAGTTGAGAGTGGTCCCAAAGAGACAAAAGGAAATTGCCCAGCACAATTATGCATCTTTAAAATTCCCAGGATAAAATATTTTTATGAGAGTCCAAGAGACCTATATAACATGGCACCTGCCTTCCTATCTAATTTAACCTCCTACCGGGCCCCATACACAATTTGTGTTCTAACCACATTTCAGTGGACTTCTAATTCCTCAGAGTGTTCAAGCTCTTCCTCCTACTTGAATTTCTTTTTCCTTTGGTTGACAGTCCTTGTTCTTCTAGATTGGGCTCAGGCTTCATGTGCCTTATCTTAAAAGCATTTCCTGATGTTTTTCTGAGCCTAGGCAAAGCTTTAATTACTTCCATGATGACAAATCTTGTAATTTATTGTAGATACTGATATTTACTTCCTCCTCTCAAGCACATCTTGAATAAAACATGCGGGCTCCAGCATAGGAGGTTTGAAGGGGTTCAGGGCTAAGCAAGGTAAAAGGCAGGACTGCAAGATAGCAGCAGAACTTTAACTTTATTTGGGTGACGTGACAAGTTTGCACCTTAGAGGAGGGGGAGAGTCCCTGGCAGCATGAGACCATCCCGAGGCGGCATCTACTTAGAAGGGGAAAAGGAGAGAGGAACTCCCAGGGGGTCAAAGAGGGACCTACCATTCAGTAGTGAGTCTTTAAATCATAGAGCTCCAAAGGACAGCCACAGCTTGGGGTCTATATAGCCCTGAAGTTTTTCTTTCAATGAGATCAGTTTTGCAAAGTGTACAGAGCAGGGAAGCATGGTATGTGCTTGTTTGGGCTATATTAACAACTATTGGCTGTGTAAAATGTTGAATTGGCACCAGTGGGCTTTTGCTCTAATGGGTGGCAGGCTGCTGTGAAGAAATAGACAACCTAAGGTCCAACATAAAGAGACTGTCTTTGCTCATTCATGCAGTACCCAGAAGCCATGTCTTATATTTCTCTATATGCCCAACACTTGGCAAAATTCCTAGCAAATAGCAGGGACTCAATTAACAATTAAGCAATATAAGAAGGAATTTGTCAAGGAAAGAAGGGGGGGGGGGAGGAAGAAGAAAAGATGCCCAATATAGTCTTGATTTTTAAATTTTTCTTTGCTATGTAATTTTGTATTACTTTGAAATAATAAAAAATGAATTTTACGTTTTGTGTTATTTCTGGTAATTGTTCAATTTCAACTTTTAAAAAATATTAGTTTGGAAACTTATTTACACAGGCACATAGTAATTACAAAACTCCCAGAGGAGATGTAAAATACAATGTTTAATTACCTGGGTTACAAAAAACAAAACACAACAAAACACAAAAATGCTCATTACCGAAAGCAATGTAACAGAGGAGAAAAGCTAAGTGAGGATCTGACCAGCTTTTTGAGTATTTACCCCCTTTTCCTAGGTAGCAGAAACTATATTATACACCAAAGGAAATAAGTCCATGTTTCAATGGTTTTTCTAGGACAACTTAAGTTTAGTAAAAAATTCCTCCCTTTTACTTTCTAGGTACAGGACAGGGTTGTTTGTTTTCTTGAATGTGATGCGCATCTTTTTAAAACTGTTTGCTGCCTCTTGACATAGCTCTAGGGCAAGTTCTAGTTTATATCTGTTTGTCAGCATGAATCTGGCTCCTTGAGATGCATCCTCAGCCTCCTGATTGATCACTTGCAGAATTTCATGGAAATAACTAGAACTATAACCCTCATTCAGTTGTTCTCTTTTATGCATCATTTCTTTAACCAGCTTTACAATTTGAGCTGTTGTCTTGTTTATTATATCTTTTTCAAACTCTTCCAGAGAGGGCCCATATACTTGCAACTTTTGAAAGGTGATAACATGTTTAGAGTAATTGATACAAAACGTTTTCTTTGTATCACGGTACCTAATTTTGTTCACAATATTGGGAAGCTGTTTAAAATGCTCCAGGAGGATGTTCTCTAGCTCAATATCAATATCAGGATCCTCAGCAGGTGGGAGTGTAGCAGGCAATAAAATGGAGATATTCTCAGACCAAATCTTGTTGAAAAGATCTCTCAGCTTCTTATCATGCAGCTCTTTCCCAATGGTGGGCACAGCCATCCCTTCGATTTTTTCTAATAACATATGTTCAAAGTTTAATTGATGCTCTTCCCAAAGGTCTTGTACTTTCTTTCCGCTAATTAAATCCTCACATTTTCTCATAGTTTCTACTGTAAGCTCCTCTTTAAGATTCTTCAAATCATCTTCAAATTTTACTTTCCACTGAGCTAAGATATTTCTATCTCTGTCTTCTCGAAAATATCTTTGGAGTTCTTGCTTAATGGCTTCATGTTTATCTACAATTTTATTGTCGATCAAACTTCTCTTGATCTCCTCAGCTTCTCCATTCCGAATCTGGCTGGACAGCTGATTATTTAAGTCCAGCACATGACTTCTCAGCTCCCAGGTCCACCTGTTGTACATGGTCTCCAGTTTACTCATAGCCAAGACCTCCCGGGTGTTCTTGAACCTGAAAATGAAATTCTCATTCACCAAGGCCCTCCATAGATCCCGTATTCGGATTTTAAGTTCTGATATCTTCAAGATGTTTCCCCTGGATTCTTCTTTGGCATTCTTAAGAATCCTGCTCTTCAGCTTTTGAACATTGTGACTATAGCAGGGATTAGGGGGGGCCATTGGGGGAGAACCTTCCCACAGGTGAGCAAAGTAATGGATGTGGGTCTTGGGATCGAACTGAATGACATCGTTGAAGGTAGCTACATCTGAGCATTGTTCATATTTGGCTGCAGCAAGTGTCATTTCATCCAGTCTCTCTCCCAGCCACCTTCGTCTTTCCATGCTTTGATTTGTATCTATAATTTCTTCTATGTTCTGGTGAACAAATAGGCATCTTGGGGAGATATTCAGTTGTTTCATCCTGAGAAAGGCATGGATGGCTATTTGCAGAATATCTTGTATTTCTGATAGATCCTTCCCAAAAATGTTGATTAGAGTTAGGTCTCCGAGCCCAATGACAAAGGTTGCCAACTCATTCTCCTCATTCTGTGCTTTGTTAATGAGTGCTGAGGCCCGAAGTCCTTCTGTGTCTACAACAAGCACAAAATCATAGCCCAACTCTTCCCTGAGCATCTCTTCCACCTTCAGGAGCTGCATGTAGGCCCCCCGGGTACACCTTCCAGCACTGAGACTGAACTGCAGCCCAAACATTGCATTCAGTAGAGTAGACTTCCCTGAGCTCTGCAGGCCCAGGACAGAGAGAACGAATACTCGTTTGTCTCCAAGTTTCTCAGAGACCTTGTCAAAAACAGCTGCCACCCATTTCAGTGGCACATAAGATGCATCCCCATCCATCAGCTCAATGGGAATCCCAGATATCATCAGGTCAGCAGCCATCTGGGGAAGGGAGACAAACAGTGTATGTGTTTGGGAGGAAGCTTCTTCTAGAGCTTCATAGATCTGGCCAACTTCTCTCATGAGATGTTCAATTCCCAGGGTGGAGTCCCTGATCTCTTTGGTAAGAGCATCTAGCTCAGCCTCCCAGTCTCGGAGGGATTCTCTCTTTGAGTGCTTCTCCTTCTCTGTTCTCACCTGAGCCAACAGGAAACTGTGCTTCTGGTGGAGGTTGTCTAACTCTCTGGTGGTTAGTTGATCTATTAACATACTCAGCCCCTCCAGAAAGTAGAGCTCTATATGGGTCTCTGGGTGTGACTGAAGACTTTCAAGGAAGTAATTTATCAGGTCACTAAGGTTAATAACTTTGTGATACTGTTCACAGCGTATTTTCTGCTTTTCCTTCTCAATCTCCTGTGTGTATTTCTCAATGCTCCTATTTCCTTTTTCTCTCAGCTGATGGAGTTCCTTATCCTTCTTACACCAATCATGCCACAGACTTCCCTGAAGTGGTAGTAACTTTTCCTTTATCTCAGATAATTTCACTTTTCTCAAGATGTCCATAAGGATTTTAGTTCTTTTTTCTGCTTCTTGGCAAGCTTCTTGGTTCTCGTCAATAATAAATTTATACTTCCTAGCAACGTTGGCCCAGTCACTCAAACTGTGAGGAGATCCAGACTTCTTTAGCAATTGTGATAATGTAGCTGTAATTTTACCAGCTAATTCTACCTTATTTAAATCCTTGATTCCAATTCTCACTTTGTGAACAGAATTCCCATCCATAATATTTTCTACATCTTCAAACAAACAGATGAGAGGCTTGGATGAATTCCAAATTTCATGTAAAAGGGAACTATTCACTTTGTCAAAAGCAGAAGTTGACAGGAGAATGACAGTGACTGAGGATACCTCTTGTAGGAATCTAACCTGACTCTCATGTGTTTCAGCATTTCCATGGAGATTGGTGAAGGCAATACAGTTTTCAAATCTGTCCTCAGCTCTCCCACCTGGGAAAAACCAGCAGATTTCCACCATACCTTCTATCAAAAGACACCTATTATTGCCTTCCCTGGGATGATGGTAGGAAAAATGGTCGTGTTTGCCTTTACTCAGAAGTGAATTTAGAATCTGTGATTTAGAAGTAGAGACACAATTTCCAAAGCTTATGAAGGATACAGTGTGTATAGGCTGCCAACTGATCAGCTGGTTATTATAATTCTTAATTTTTTTTTCCCATCCCATTTGTTCCACCTCTTTCCAGCTTCTCCTGATTTGCCTGAGAGACCAAAGAGGAAACTCAATTTGGGGACTGCAAGGACTGGGCACCAAAAGTGGGAGAGCAAATTGACAAATGGAAAGTTTGGTTAAAACATACTGTCTTGTGAAGTCATCTGCACAGTGAAAAATTGCCATTTGTATGTCCATTGGGTGGATGTAAGTTTGTGTTGAAGCTGATTTTGTTTTTTTTATAATGAAAAAGTCCTCAAATGTTCTTCCTAGTTCTGTGGGTTTAAGTGTCTGGGGCCCAGTAGATACTGTATCTAAATTGCCTCTGTAAACCAGGTACCGCAAATGATAATCTAATACCAAAAGTTTCTCTAGAAAACAAACTGGTAGCTCCCCCTCAGCCTTTGGCTGAGTGTCACAGAGGGAGGTCTTATTTATCAAAAGAGTATTGACTTTGGTCATTTTCTTGGGATAATAACTTGCCAGGTTAAGCTGTCTGAGTAAGTGAAGAAAGTGTTGATTTGGGGCTGTTTCTTTTTTATCATTGCTTGATTGAAGCTCTCTGGAACTAGAAGCAGATTCGTTGGATGTCTTCTTTTTGTTAAATATATTTCTAATTTTCTAGAAAGAAATATAGACAATGATAATGACTATTGTCTCTCTATAACAAAGGCTTAAGTTTAACAAGTATGAAGTTTATCAAGTATTAGTGTGTAAATATATTCATTCATTTTCAAATAATAGAGTACTTCTAAGTTTTAGGTAATGGGTTGACCGAGGGATGAAGCATGATATAGGCTGAAGAGCTTAAAACTTAACTATGTAGCTAATTATACTGTGCTATTGTATAATAGAATACTGAAGATATACATAAATGGTGACAAGCTCAAAATGCATTGGCAACATATTTGAAGAAGTGATTAGATTATCTAGGGATGCAAAGCCAGGAAAGGCTTTACCAAACTGATGTAACATATACTCATGGAAGGGGGAAAGGAGGAGAAGATAATTTTTTAAAAAATAGCAAAACAATTACCACAAGGTAGTTATTGTCTTCACCAGTTTGTGCATGCTATATTATTAATTGAGTAAGATTTTATTAGGCAAAGTAAGTGGGTGGATATATTCTAGATAATGAGAAGAGGAAGCACAGGAAAAGATGTCTGAAGGTTGAGTATAAATAGGAATCAGAAAGCAATCTAGTATGTGTGGGCAGAAGCAGAAAATGAAGGTAGTGCTGAAATCTGTTTGGCTCAGTGGATAGAGCATCAGCCTGTGGACTGAAAGGTCCCAGGTTCGATTTCGGTCAAGGGCATGTACCCTGGTTGGGGGCGTAGGGGGTGTGCAGGAGGCAGCTGATCGATGTTTCTCTCTCATCGATGTTTCTAACTCTCTGTCCCTCTCTCTTCCTCTCTGTAAAATAATCAATAAAATATATTTTTAAAAGAAAAAAAAATGAAGGTAGTGAGGAAAGCTGAAAGGAAAACGAATTTGACTCATTTAGTAGCCAACAAATTTTAAAAATATATATTTTTATTGATTTCAGAGAAGAAGGAAGAGAAAAAGAGAGAGACTCATTGATTTGCTGACTCCTGCACACCCTCCAATTGGGATCGAGCTTGCAACCCAGGCATGTGCCCTGACTTGGAATCAAACCTTGACCTCCTAGTTCATAGGTTGATGCTCAACTACTGAGCCATGCTGGCCAGGCGGTAACCATCAATTTTAATAATACATTATTATTATTATTCTCATTTTGGAGAAGAAGAGCTCATTAAAAGATCAAGCAAATGCCTGGTTACACAGAAGTGACAGGACTCATAACCAGGCCTCTCTGGGATCCTGCTTTTCACCAAGACACCTTGTAGGCACATTGTTTCTAATGCCAAATGACTCTGTTATATCAAAGGATATGGAAGCCAGTAAGCCTCTGAGATTGTGAGCATTCTATGGCCTGGAAACCCCTCTCTCTTCCTGAGTAAAGTATCTGGGGTGATTACAAACCTTTTGCAATCCATCTGGTCCTGTTTCTTTATCTTGCTTCCTCTTCTTTGGAGCTTTATTATCAATGGAAGATCCAGCTTTGGAGGGAAAACAAGGTTTATTATTCTCATGATTATTAAAACATGGAGTCAGAATTGTCCTGTTGCTAAAGCTTAGCCTCTTCCCTACCTGCTAATAACCAAGAGTGGAGGGTCAGAATGACAGGTTTGTGGGCTTATTTTGTAGCTATAAGTAGATTAGTTTGTGGCTAGGACTGTGAAACTTCACCATCACTGATGATAGAGCTAAAGGACATTAGGTTCATAGCAAACAGGCTTGTGAAGTTTCCAGTATAAGAAATCGGAAAAAAAAAAAATACTCTATATCACTACACATTTAGAACATCTAACATAAAGACCCTAATATCATTCATGGCAGGGGCAGGGTAGTCCATGGACCACTGATGAAAAAGTGATAATCAGATTGGCGTCAGATTCACTATCAGTAATTACTTATTTCTTTCAAAAATAATAAGGTAAAAGAATTTTCTACCTCAAACCAGTTACCTTTCTAGTTTGAGAAGAGATTAAAGTTATTTCCAGGAAGTAACACCCTTGCAAGTTCACTGTCTGCATACCATTTCTTAGGAAGGCTCTAGGAGGAAATTAGGAAACAAATAGGTGAATAGAAGAGCCCATTAACTTGATAGGATAGTTGAGATATTGGAAGACTATAAGGATGTGATGAACATGCACAAGGCAAAAAATAATGAGAAATTTTCATGAAAGTAAAAGTAAAAACAAAAAAATTATAATAATTAAACTATACTTGATTTTGTTATGACTGGAATTTACATATGTATCAATATAATAGTATAGGTAAGTGATTTGCACATTTAGAAATAAACTATAAATAAAAGTTGAAAGACTTTCATTATGATTTTAAGAAAATTAAAGTTTTCAACTTGATCATGTAAGAATAAAAGTATTTGGGTGAGTTTTGAGCTATTGCCTCTCATAATGGACCAAATTTAAAAGTTAAAAAAAGTAAAATTCAAATGAAAACTTTATATAAACTAAAAATACTGCCATAAGTCTATCTGGAAGAGAATGGATGGGCAAGCAAGAGGTGGCATAAACTGAGCAGAAGGCTCATTGTAGGATAGTAATAAGTTATATTGAAATTATATTGGTATTGATAAACTAATGGAACTAATGGATGTGATATTGATTAACCTATGAAGAGTGGTAAAAGGACGCTTGTTAGAAATATGGCAGTCATTACCATAAAAAAAAAGTTGATCTTTGAAAATAATGTTTTAAAACTCAGAAGAGGGGCTTTTTACAAAGATAAATGTACCCATATGTTATTGCCACATTATTCATAATGGGCAAGACATGGAAACAACTGAAGTGTCATTCAATAGATGATTGGATAGAAAAGATGTGGTACATATATACAATAGAATACTATTCAGCAATAAAAAATAAAAAAGATGAAATTCTGCCATTTTATAAAAAAAACTTTAAACATTTTTAATCTTCACTTAAGGACATGCTTTTATAAATTTTTTTGAGGTGGGGGGAGAAATGAAGGGAGAGGGAGAGAGAAAAACATCAATATGAGAGTGAAACATCAATCATTTGCCTTACACACATGCCCTGACCTGGGATCTGACCCACCACCCGGATATGTGCCCTGACCAGGAATTAAACCTGCCACCTTTCAGTGTATGGGATGATGCACCAACCTACTGAGCCATACCAGTCAGGGTGATGAATAGATCTTGAGAATATCATGCTAAGTGAAATAAGTCAGACAGAAAAAGTTAAGAACTATATAAATTTTGCTGAAAGCAAAATAACTGAAAGCGTATAAAACTGAAAGCAACAATGAGCAAACAAGAAATACAAACAGAAATTCATAGACACAGACAATAGTAGGGTGGTTACCAGAGGAAAGGGTGTGGAGATAGTAAAGGGTAAAGGGGGTCAAATGTATGGTGATGGAAGATTTGACTCTGGTGGTGGGTGCACAGTGCAATATACAGACCATGTATTGTAGAAATGTACACTTGAAACTTATATGATCTTACTAACATTGTCACCCCAATAAATTAAATTGAAATGAAAACAATGGGTGGCTCAGTTGATTGGAGCACTGGCCCATACACCAAAACGTTGCAGGCTCCATTCCCAGTCAAGGCACATTACCTAGGTTGTGGGTTTGATCCCCAGTTGGGGTGCATATGGGAGGCAATCAATCAATGTTTCTCTTTCACATCTATGTTTCTCTCTCCAAAATCAATAAAAACATATTTTTAGGTAAGGATTAAAAAGAAGGAAAAAAAAGAAAAATTGAGTTCAGAGAGGTTATTTTATGAGAAAAGGGTCAAGGTTATGTTTTAATTTTTAACTATATACATGAATAACATTTTGAACAAAATAAAAATAAGTATTTAAAATATATTTTTAAAGTGATAAAACTCTTCCCATAAATTAACATTTTTAAATGACCATAATTCATGCGCTGGTACAGTAATTCTAGAAAATTATTTAACTGCTTCCAACTTTTAGGAATTTAAGGGAATGAAATAACACACGCACCATGATGCATTATGAAGGTAATTTTCACAACATTCTGCATTGTGTTGATATTTTGGAAACACTAAAATGTCTGACGTGGGATTTTTGGCAACATTATTGAAGAGCACCAACAGGATGGAGAATATGTAGCCATTCAAAATAGAACCAGGAGCTAGTGAGCAGAGACGAAGGAACCGCATAGAGTCCCCTGTGGCAATAGTATTAGCAGGGACAGAAGCTACATTCATTTTCCAGTGGCCATCTCTAGTGCCAGCCTCAGGCGGGAGGTCGGACAAGCTGTGATGTCTACAGCTATCAACACAGACATTGGCATCCTCCTGGGCTACTTCTGTGATGTGCTGTTGGACTTGGTGCCTGGCTCAATAGCCTCAAACCTGATTTTCAAGCCCTTCTAGAGCTTATGTCAAATACCCAATATTCTTTAGTCAATTCTACTGTATAAGAGCAGAAAATATAAAACAGTACTTAAGAATTATTGATTAAGACTACGGGAAATGCTTATTATGTTTTAAGCCAAAAACCCCACTGATGATATAAAACTGTATAGTCATTGGACTTTGGAATACTGCCTTCCTCCCTACCTTACCACCACATTGATAGGGTTCTTGTCTAATAACTAGAGAAAATGAAAGGACTCTGTATAAGCTTCTTATTCAAGACGCTCCCGGGAAGACCCAAAGACAACCGAGAAACTAAAACAAGGACAATAGAGGCATTTTTAGCCCGTGACACCACAGCTACAGCCAACAGTAAGCAGAACTTAACTCCAAGCCGGACAAACATAAAATCTCACACTAAGGGGCGATTTACCTCAGTTTCTTTTCCTAGTACATTATGTACAATTTTGATAAGTCACAAGGCACACTATAAGCAAAAAAAAGGACAGTTTGAATATACTGAACAAGTATCAGAATCAAACTCAAGCATGGGTGAGAGGTTGGAATTTTAGATGTGAAATTTATCTCAATAAATAAATCTTAAAAGTGCCACGACACACAGTTCTTTTTATATTTTATGCTGTCTCTATGTGTATTCAATTAATTAAGATATGAAGATTTCAGAAAAAGTCTTGAGTCATGTCCAGCAAACAGAGGAGTAGGTTAGGTGTAGACTCACGGTTTTCTATACCCTGACTTAACTTCTCTGCTAGGTTGCGCTGGCCTATGGTTATCAGGACCTCCTTGGTCACAATCCTGGAGTATCCGTCCCCGTAGAACTGTATCAGTAGGTCAGCAAGTTTCACTCGGGATGCTTGATGGAGGGTGCTCCGAGGTATGCGGCGGTACTCCTCAGAAATAGCTATGTTTGCTAGTTGAAACTTGAACGTTGTGAACTCCTCCTCTAAGAGGTCCTCGAGGATGTAAAGAAGAGTTGTCTTCGAGTTGCTCCCCATTCTGTGCAGCTAAATGCTGGGAAACTGATGATCAGGCAGTTACTGACGTGAAACAGAGAGTTGGTTATGGAAAATGATAGGCATGATGGGAAGCACACATGAGGCCAGTGGTTTGAGAGAAGTGAGGCAAAGAAGTGGAAAATATGAACTGATAATACATGTCCTTTTTTTTTTTTCCTAACCCTCACACAAGTATATTTTTCCCATTGATTTGTAGAGAGTGGAAGGGAGGAAGAGAAGGAGGAGGAGAAAGGAGAGAAAGAGGATGAGGAGGGGGTAGAAGGAGGAGGAGGAGGGGAAGGAGGGAAGGAGAGAGGAAAATGGATCTTAGAGACACATTGATTGGTTGCTTCCCATGTGCACCTCAATCAGGGTGGGGATGGAAACTGCAACCCAGCCTTTGACCATGACCTATTTGTGCATGGGCTAATGCTCTAATCACTGAGCAGCACTGGCCACGGCTGGTAATACATGTAGGATATTCCTCAAAGCTTTGGGGCTATTTACCTTGCCCCCTCACTCTCCACAATTGTGCTCCACTGCTGGAATTCTCAAGACTCTCTATTAGATGATGGCTGTTTGTGGGGAAGAGACTGAAATTGGGGTCTTATGGAGGTTTGTGTTATGCAGAAAAAAGGAAAGAAAATGTAGCCATGCTATTATTCAGTAGGTAGGGAAAAAAATAAATGCAGCCCTGGCCTGGTAGCTCAGTTGGTTAGAGCATCAGCCTGCTATGCCAAGGTTGTGGGTTCAATGCCCAATCAGTGCACAGGTCACATACAGGAATCAACCAATAAATACATAAGTAAGTAGAATAATAAATTCATATTTCTCTCTCTCTCTCTCAATAAATTAAAAAAAGTTTTTAAGTAAAAAAATGTTTTTAAAAAGCAAATGCATTATGGATAGGGATAGCGAATAAAAATATTTATACTTTCATTACTTGTATATGTTGGGTAGATTAAAAGGGATTTTAGGAGATTAAATTTGCACGTGAAAATTGGTATAAATAATAGGGGCATGGAAAATCACTTTCCTGATTTTTTTGTAACGTATAGGATCCTCAACCTTTTGCTCTGCTTCTTACTCCTAAAATGTAACTTTTATAGGTATATAAATTTTTTATGATAATGCTATTATTATCACCACCACTTATTATATCAGCAAAACTACTGTCTTCGCCAATCTATCTCTTTTCTCTCCATCAACCCTGGCTATTCTTAAAGTTACTATAAAATGTCATTTTTTTTCCCCCCAAAGTCTATTTTTTTTCTCCAAAAGATGTAATGCTACCTATCTTTCAACATTCAACAATATTTATGACACATATTTTGTCTTGTAATTATACTTATCTATGTACTTCAATCATTTTCCTCTGTTAGTAACACTATGCATTAAATGGGCAACTAGTATGTATTGAACATCGTTCATATCATGGGCAGGCTGCTTTGCACACTTGATCTCATTTATTTATTTTATTTTTTTAATATATTTTATTGACTTTTTTACAGAGAGAAAGGGAGAGGGATAGAGAGTTAGAAACATCTATCATGAGAGAAACATTGACCAGCTGCCTCCTGCACAACCCCCACTGGGGATGTGCCTGCAACCAATGTACATGCCCTTGACCTGAATCGAACTGGGGACCTTTCAGTCCGCAGACCAACGCTCTATCCACTGAGCCAAACCGTTTTTGGCTTGATCTCATTTATTTTTAACAAAATTCCAATTAGAGAATTTTAACATTGAAGCTTGAGAATGACATTATTTGGTTGAGCTTTAGTAAGATTACTGTGTCACTTGCATGAGGATGGAGAATAGAAATTACAAGGAAGAAGGCAGTGGTAAAAGTTAAGAGACTGTTACAATGGTCTAAAGAAATGGTGACTTGGACTAATAGTTTAGGAAGGAAGATAATGAGGAATGGTCAAATTCAGGCTTTATCTAATAGGCATAGCTAACTAGAATTATTGATAATTTTTTTATGGGCGAAGGAAAGTGAAAACTCAAGGATGTCATAGTCAGCAGGATTCTCTGGGTGCGAATGCAAACTGCTTGTGTGGGCTATAGGCCTAGAGCAGGGGTTCTCAACCTATGGGTCACAACCCCTTTGGGGGTCGAACGACCCTTTCACAGGGGTCATCTAAGACCATAGGAAAACACAGATATTTACATTACAATTCATAATAGCAAAATCACAGTTATGAAGTAGCAATGAAAATAATTTTATGGTTGGGGGTCACCACAACATGAGGAACTGTATTAAAGGGTTGCGGCATTAGGAAGGTTGAGAACCACTGGCCTAGAGGCTGGAAATGATCCTGACTGATAGCAAGTAAGAAAATGGGAACCTCATTCCTACATAAGTTGAAGTCTGCTAACAACCTGGAAGAGGACCAGAGCCCTGGATGCGAATTTCAGTTTGTCAGCTGATTGCCACCTTTTGAAATCTTGAGCAAAAGATCTAACTAATTCAAACCTGACTCGTGACCCATGAAAACTGTGCAGTAATAAATGGGTCTTATTTTAAGCTGCTTAGTTTTATGGTAATCAGTTATGCAGAGATAGAAAATTAATACAGCTGATTTCTAGGATTTTGACCTGAGCAAATAGTTATGATGGGGTTGTACTTTAATGTGGTCAAAGTTTATAACAGGCTTATTGGAGTTCATATTTAATTTGTAATGCCAATTAGGCAAGTAAGTGGCAATGGTAAGTAGACTAAAGTGGGGAATATCTTTTAACGGATGAGTACTTAAAGGCATGGGACTAGTAAGCTTGGCTAAAGAGAAAGGATAATTAGAGAAGAAAGAAGGACCCTGGAAGAGAGCACCATTTAGAACAGAGGTAAAGGAGACTAAAAAGAAGCATCCACAGAGGAGGAAATGGGGAATGAGACATACTTGGGATCCTGAAGCCTGGAGAAGGAAGTATGTTATGTAGGGGTGTCGAACTCAATCAGAGAAGGGGCCAAAATCTAAAATCCAGCCTAAATCGCGGGCCGAATGGTTTACTGAACAGTCATAAACTGTCATTGTGATGGAAACGCAGCGGAGTGCAGTGATGACAGCGCGGTGCGGGCCACATTGCAAGGCCTGGCGGGACGGATTTGGCCCGGGGGCCTTGTGTTTGACACATGTGTTATAAAGGAAAGTGTAGTAACCATGTTAAATGCTTCTGAGAGGTCAGGAGGATAAGGATAGAAAACTGATCATATGTCTTTTAAGATGAAAGCCACTGATGACCTTGATAAAAAGCTATTCCCATGGGTGGAGAAAAAAAGCCCAGTAGAAGTGGGTAATACTTAATATTTTTTGCTCTTACTATAGCAGAGGAAAGAGACTATCACAGGAATAGACAACGTGCTTAAAGAAGTTTAGTTTATGTGTTTGTTTTAGGTATTGGCGATATTAAGATATTTGATAGGAATGATCCAGCCGGGTGGGGGAGACATTTTTAATGAAGGAGATTGTATTACTTTTCTATTGATGCTATTAAAAATTTATCATAAACATAATGGCTTAAAACAACAAAAAGTTATTTTATATAGTCTGGAAGCTGGAAGTCTGCAATGAGTTGCATGGGGCTAACATTGAGGTGCTAGCAGGGAAGAATCCATTTCTTACCTCTTCTAGCTTCTGCTGGCACTCCTTGGCCTGTGGTCTCATCATGCCAGTTTCTATGTCACATTACTATCTCCTCTTTCATAATAAAAAACTCTATCTGTGTGTCTCTTGTGTGATCACCTTTAGGTCCTTTTTGGGTAATTCAGGATAATCTTCCCATCCCACAATCCTTAACTTAATTACCCTTGCCAAGTCTCTTTTGCCATATAAGGCAAAGTTTACAGGTTCCAGGGATTAGAACATACATATATTTTGGGGAGGATCATGATTCAGTTTATCATAGAGGTAAAGAAAAAAATTGCAAGGGTCAGAGAGAGAGACAAAGAGAATGAGAATTAATGTTGTGATCCAAGTAGGAAATGGTGTGGGACAAAGGTAGAACTCTGTTAAGAAAGACAGAGAAAAAGATATAGAATCAAAACCTCATTTAAGAGTTCTAAAAAGTAGGACTTTTTGTTTGTTCATTTATAGTCTCTTGATGGAGGAAAGAAAATTTACATACAAGAATATGCATAGCCGAAGCTGGTTTGGCTCAGTGGTAGAGCGTTGGTCTGTGTACTGAAGGCTCCCAGCGTTGGTCTGCGGACTGAAGGGTCCCGATTCCAGTCAAGGGCATGTACATTGGTTACGGGCACATCCCCGGTGGGGGTTGTACAAGAGGCAGCTGGTGGATGTTTCTCTCTCATCAACGTTTCTAGCTCTCTATCTCTCCCCCTTCCTCTCTGTAAAAAAAATCAATAAATATATATATATATATTTAAAAAAGAATACAATTAGATGGGTTTTGGGAACTGTGTATACTTCAGTGAGTGGATTTTTTTTTTATTGTTTGTGGAAATGGGGGTCTTGATATTGTTTCCTAGGTTTATACCTAATTGGGTACTTTACTGAGACTGGGACACTACAACGTATAGGGCAGGTCTGGTGGTGGAGGAAGATGATTGATTCCATTGTGATACATTGAGTTTGAGGTTAACATGGGTGCTTTGTATTTTCCAGGCACTCTACTAATTAATATACATGTATTGTTTAATTTTTTACTTACAACAATCCTAGGAGGCAAGTTATTATTGTTTCTGTATTTTATAGATAATAAATCAGAGATGTAACTTGTTCAAGTTTCTATGACAGCCTTAACTACCACATCTACTATTAAGCTGGTTACACAGTCCTGTATTTCAGAAACCTATCTGGACTGAAGATTTAGATTAAGGAATAACCAGCATATAGATGATAATAAAAATCATAAAAATAGATAAAATCACTCAGGTATGGGCTGGAAATTCCCTTGCAGCTGGTATCACCACACCCCACATTACTCAATAACTTAAAAAAAGTTAGTAGGATAATGGCCCTATTCATGCTGAGCAGATATTCAGCTGTTAGGTTGTGGTATGATCTTATCAGCTATTAAGTATTGAAATATGGTGCTTGCATACTAGAGACATAGATTCTTCCCTAACCCCCGTTTACCTCCTACTACCTTAGTTTTCCAGGCTCTGAGGAGCCCTGGGTAGGCTCTGCCAAGGAGGAATAATCACAATTTTATTTTTTAAATAAGCATTTATTGATTATATTTTGTGGTGCTATGGCAGATGATGGGGCATAAAAAAGAAATGGAATAACTTTACCAACCTTAGGAGATTTTGAAAAATGGAAGACACAATGATGGCACAGATATTATTAAACTTAATACAGTAATTTTGTGTGGTGTAAGAGTCCAGAGGATATAGCAATTGTTGCCATTCATTCAATTTATTTAATTAATTCATTCAATAATTATCCAAAGCTGTTTTAAAGGATCTGGTATAGGCCAGGCAATATATGTTGGGGTGTCAAAGACAAGTAAGGCAAATTACCATTCCCCAATTGCTCAGTGTCTGATGGGGGATCTCAGCACAGATCTCTTTTACTATTGTGCTTTAGGACAAAGATAGGTATAGGCAGAAGACATGATTTTGCCCAGTTCCCATGACAATGACAACAAAAAGTGGGACAAGACTTCAATGAGTTGATAGAAAACATTCTTATATATAATCAATAGGAGTTTCTGACTGCCATGGGAAATTACCTTGGGTATTGTCTAAGCAACCCTTCCACTTCACAGATAAGAAATCTAGGACCTAGAGGTAGCATATGATAAGCTTGTTTCACATAACATGTTAGTTAGTGGCTAAGCCATGTGTCCAACACAGTCTCTGAGTCTGTCCAGAGACCTTCCCTAAGCTGCACACTGTCAATTCCTAGTTGAGTTCAGGCTGACCCAAGTTGTAGTTGCACTTTGTGCATTTAGATTATCAGGGATAATTCAGCCTTGGAGTTCTTGATGAGGATTCCCTCCCTGGGTTCCTAAATTTGAGCAAAGAGCCCCAAACCATGTACTACTTAAAGCAGGACCTTACCGAATTATAAGACAAAGGAGACAAAAAGACAGAGAGTAACATGGGAGAGCCAGAGAGAAATCACAATAGAGCCATAGAAGATCATGGAGGGGTAGTGGGGGGATGAGAAGGGGAGCAGGCAGAAAGGAAGGAGATGGGAGGGAGAGGAGGAGAGACGAATGGAAAAGGAAAGCAAAGAGAAGAAACATGTCGACTTCCTTACCTAATACAGGAGAAAAAGAGGACTGGGGCCTCCCTGATCTCTCAGTCCTATGTCCCATTTAAGGGAAGAGACTCTCACTCCACCATGGGCCCCTGCAAAAAGAGTATACTCACCAGTATGAATCCTAGATCTTTCTTCCAATTTTGTCCTACACGGAGATGGAAATTTGCTCCGTCAAGTAGAAGAAATCTACCTGTCTTTATGGATTGCGGTTGTACAGTAAAAAACTAGTTTGATTTTTTTTTTTTTCTAAGTGATTGAGTAATGTGGGGTGTGGTGATACCAGCTGCATGGGAATTTCCAGCCCACACCTAATGAGAGAAAAATGAGAACCAGAAAAAGGATGAAAGTGTTATCTCATCCCTGATTTAAAACTTTTTCAAGTGCATCTCATTATTTATTGAATCAAGTCCAATTTTTTGGAATTTAAGATCTTCACCACCTAGTTAGTGGCAAGAGCATGGATTGGATACAGACTGATCTAAGTGTTTTTAATTACAATTTGCATTTAACATTATTTTGTAGTAGAGGCCCGGTACATGAAATTTGTGCATGGGGAAGGGGAGTGTCTCTCAGCCCAGGCCACACCTCTCCAATCTGGGATTCCTCTCACAATCCAGGACTGCTGGCTCCCAACTGCTCGAATGCCTGTCTGTATTCCTGATTGCCCCTAACCATTTCTGCCTGCCAGCCTGATCGCCCCCTAAGCACTCCCCTGCCAGCCAAATTGCCCCTAACTGCCCTCCCCTGCAGGCCTGGTCACCTCTAATTACCCTTCCCTCCCAACCTGATTACCTCTAACAGCCCTCCCCTGCCAGCCTCATCACCCCTAACTGCTCTCCCCTGCTGGCATAGTCCCTCCCCCCAACTGCCCTTCCCTGTGGGCCTGGTCGCCTCCATCTTTCCTCCTCTGCTAGTCTGGTCACTCCTAACTGCCCTCCCTTGCCTGTCTGGTCCCTCTCAACTGACCTCCCCTACTGATCATCTTGTGGCAGCCGTCTTGTGTCCACATGGGGGCAGCCATCTTTGACCACATGGGGGTAGCCACCTTGTATGTTGGAGTGATACTCAATTTTCATATTACTCTTTTATTAGATAGTATTAATTTCAAGTGCACAGCACAATGGTTAAACAATCATATACTTAACAAAATGTTTCCACTCCAATATTTCAAGTGCCCACCTAGCACCTGAAAGTTAACTAGTACTACAACATTGTTGATATTTTCTAGGCTTTACTTTATATCCCTGTGACTATTTTGTGACTACCAATTAGTACTTTGAATCCCTTCACCCTTTCCACCTAGCCCCCTCACCCCTCTCCCCTTTGTCAGCCATCTGTCTGTTCTTTGTATCTACAAGTCTGTTTCCCTTTTGTTTGTTTATTTTGTTCTTTAGATTACACATATAAATGAAATCACATGGTACTTATCTTCATCTGGCTTATTTCACTTAGCATAATATCTTCTACATTCAGCCATGCTGTCACAAATAGTAAGATTTCATTTTTTTAATGGTTAATATTCTATTGTATGTATGTATCACAGCTTTTTTATCCACTTGTCTGATGATGAGAACTTGGGTTGTTTCCATAGCTTAGCTATTGTAAATAATGCTGCAATGAACATGGAAGTGAATATATTCTTTCAAATTACTATTTTGGGTTTCTTTGCATTTATACTCAGAAGTGGAATCTCTGGATCATAAGACAATTCCATTTTTTAATATTTTGAGGAAGCACCATACTGTTTTCCATAGTGGTGTTACCAGTTTGCATTCCCAGCAACAGTGCAAAAGGGTTCCTTTTTCTCTAAATCCTGGCTGACATTTTTTGTTTGTTAACTTATTGTTGATAGCCATTCTGGCAGGTGTGAGATGATGTCTTATTGTGGTTTTAATTTGAATTTCTCTGATAATTAATGATGTTGAGCATCTTTTAATATACCTATTGGACATCTGCAAGACCTGTTTGTAGAAGTGTCTATTCAGGCCTTCTGCCCACTTTTTAATTATGTGTGTGTTTTTTTGTTTTGTTTTTTGTTGTGTGTGTGTGTGTGTGTGTGTGTGTTTTGAGTTATCTGGGTAATTTATAAATTTTGGATATTAGTCAGAATAGTCTAAGTTTAAAACCCTGTGTGATCACTTGCTAATTGAAATAGGACATGTGACTTTGCTTTTTAAAGTTTTTGTCTTCTCATTTGTGAAATGGGAATAATAACAGTACTTATATCCTAGAAAGTTAAAAGAAATAACCATGTTACTCACATAACATAGTGTTTGGCTTTTAATTACTGCTCAACAATAATTAGCTATTATTTTTATTATAGTGGGGAGTCCTACTGAAGGACTCCTTAAGAGGGAGAGAAATGTCAGACATTTACCTTGAATTTGTTGATACTAGCTGGCTTCATTAGGAATTGTAGCTATCAGCACCATTTATTCTCAGATGGGTAATATCATTCTGGTTTTGAGAGTTTAAAAAGAAAACCTTCACCATTCCTTACCTCAGTCTAAAAAGAAAATTAGTTTCATTAATTATGATATTTCTGGACCCTTGAGACAGTGGACACCAGGAACAGAATGGGCCTAGCAATCTTGAGCAGTATCAGTACACATTAACTGACAAAGCTAGCCAGGTAAAGTATAACATTGTGGGAGGATCCAATACTGTGGCTTAGGTAAACACCTGTACTGCTGCCTCGCACAACAATTACCAAACTGCAACTGGAAGACAGAGCAGACATCATCCAGAATGACCAGAAAATTGGCCAAGTGAAAATTCTACAACTAGAAGGAAAGAGAAAAGGACACTGAGACTCAGTGGAGGACAAAGGTGTGGAGGCCCTGGTGCATGCGGAAGGGCGGGCAGCTGAATGTGCGGCTGGCTGACTCAAATGGAGGGATACAAAGCCTCCCTCTATGCTGAACTCCAGTTCCGGGCAAGATTCAGGGAACCCAGGCTCATATGGGGTGAAACTGGACTGTCAGGAAAAAGCACACTGAGACTTGGGAGCTCTGGAAGGCAGAGGTGCGGAGGAGCGGCACATCTCCTATGGACTCTTTCCTTATAAAACTGCCAAGATTTCTCATTTTCCAAGCTAATGTTGTTCCTGTTCAGAGGGTAAAAGATCCTGGGTGATATAGCCCATAGGAGTCAGCTTCCTGTAAGTTAGAGGGGGGAAAAAATAGAGAGGCTGAGAATGGATATGAAGTGGCCAAAAGAAAAAACCCAGAAAAACTGAGAGACTATCTGACCCAAATGAGGGAGTTAAAAGAACAGAGCCTCATTAGCAGACAGAGGAAGAACAGGCCTGGATAGAACAGAACAGAAATTGTCATGATCAGCAAGCAAGATTCGGCTCCCGAAGTGAGATAACAGATCTAAAAAACAGGGAGAGAGGGAAAGTTTGAGGGAGCATATCCAAGGACTTATGGAGAAGACACACATACCTCATATACCTCGTGAATAGATCTTATCTGTTTTCTGTTTCTGAAATCTTTATTTCAGAGTAGCTTCAAGTGAAGTTCTTGACCATCAGTTGGCACACTGAAGAAGCAGGCCGCACAGAAAAACAAATTCTAAAAAGTCCGGCCACACTCCCTAATTTTACATCACAGAAGAGATATAAGGTGTTTGTGACACAATTTCATGGTTATTCAATCAACTGTTGAGTGAGACAGAGTGTGTCATATGGATGAGATGGGAACCAAATGCCTTATTTTAAACACCTAATATTTATTTATACATTCCCATTCATTTTTTTTATAGATGCTGTGCTTCTCCATGGGAAATTTAAGATAATTTTAAAAGAATTTTATCTACAAGACCACATCAATTAAAGGTAAAATAAAAAAAAGGAAAGCAAATGGGCACAAGAGAAAATGGTGCTTCTGTTATTTATTTCTGCATTAAAAAAAACAACAACCCAGAACTACTATCATTTATTTGGCTTGTGAATCTATAATTTGTGTGAGGGTAGCTTCATGATGTTTGTGGGCATAGACTATATATAACTTGAATATCTTTGGGGACTCAATGAGGGTTGAGTTATTCCTCTTTCCCTCCATCAGGCTTCTCAACATGAGCTAACCTGACTGTGTCTTAGCATGATAATCTCAGGATAGTTGGACTTTCATGGCATCTCAGGGCTGAAGACAGAATCTTAATTAAAAAAAATAGACCAATTCCATCCATGCTGCTGCAAATGGTGAAAATTCCTTCTTTTTAAAAGCAGCATAGTATTCCACTGTGTAGATGGTTTTCTAATCCACTCATTTGTTGATGGTCACTCAGGCTGTTTCCAAATCTTAGCTATTGTAAATTGTGTGAGCATTATGCTAAGTGAAATAAACCAGTCAGTAAAAGAAAAATAACACATGATCTCACTCATTTATGGATAATAAAGAACATTATAACCTGATAAACAAAAAGATACAGAGGCAGAGAAGCATCAAACAGACTGTCAAATTACAGCAGGAAGGCTGGGGAGAGGGGGAAGGTAAGAGATCAACCAAAGGACTTATATGCATGTATATAAGCATAACCAATGGATGTAAAACACTGGGGAGTGAGGGCATGTATGGGAGTGAGGTTGGGGGCAATGAGGGGATATGGACACATATGTAATACCTTAATCAATAAAAATAAAAAGAAAGAAAGAATAAAATAAAATAACAACTGCATAACAAAGAAAGAAAAAGTCCAGGTGAAAGCTGTAGGGCCTTTTATGATCTAGCCTCAGAAGTCATCCACTGTCACTTCCCACAATGCTCTAAACTGGTTAGGGATGAGGTTTCCTTTATTGATTTTCACTGGAGTAAAGCTCATTTTTTATTCCAGCTTTATTTGAGATTTATCATTGTGTAAATTTAAGGTGTACAAGATATTGATTTGATATGTTTATATATTGCAAAATGTGTACCACCATAGCATTTACTAACATTTCCATCCTGGCCTCATTTGAACTTAAACCTCGATATTGCTGGCCAAGTGTTCAGAAAAATGAAATTATATATTTGAACACTGACCAGAATATAACTCTGCTGTGGTCATTGCTGAAAGTAATAACACTATTTGGCTCTGATGGATTTCTTAGGGGCCAATTTCTTAAGTCATGAATATGTATGAGTATAAAGACAAGTTACAGTTAGATGTTTTTGGTAGCATTGGACAGTAGGGGACAGCCTAAAGGGATTACATTTGGGATGAGGAA